ATGCCAGGCGAGCGCGCTACCGCTTGAGTCACATCCCCAGCCCTGGCCTTGAATTCTTAATCCTCCTGCCTCAGCTTCCCACGCTAGTGGGATTACAGATGTGCTACACTGCTCCTGGATATGTGTTGGTATTTTTAATATCATAAATAACTAACGTCATAAGTTTTGAGAAGAGATGGTAATGCTTTTACATCCAGGAAATTGAGATGTCTGTTCCACAGTAGAACTAATGAACATTCTTAGATTCCTGAAGCAACCATTGATAACTTAATAACTAAAATTATTAAGAACTTTAATTAGGAATCTCAGATAATGCAATTAGATCAGATACAGGATTTGAGATTTATTTTGGTCAGGCCCTTTTGGGGCTGACCCAGTCCCCCCCAATTGCCCCAAATCTTGCTTGTTCTTGATCTCTGGCTGTAGAGGAAAGGAAATGATTTTAAATGAATCTTCCTCTTTCAAAAAACATTGAGGCCAGGCATGGTGGCGCATGCCTGTAATCCCAGTGACTCAGGAGGCTGAGACAGGAGAACAGAGTTCAAAGCCAGCCCCAGCAAAAACTAGGTGCTAAGCAACTCAGTGAGACCCTGTCTCTAAATAAAACACAAACTAGGGCTGGGGATATGGCTCCGTGGTCAAGTGCCCCTGAGTTCAATCCCGTGTAACCCCCATCACCCAAAATGAAATCTCTTTGTCACAAAATACATTTCCAATAGTCTTTATTTTTAGCACTTATTTTAAATCTTAAGGCAGCACATTGCACCTTGTTTAACTAGAAAATGTTGTTTGCTCTGGGAAATGAATCAGCAGGCTGCCCCCATGTGCTGAAGCAGAGAAAGGCATGTTGTCCACTTGAGCTTCTTCTCCTGGAACATTTTGTCCTGCCTGTGTGGGTTTAATTTGGAAAATTCTTGACAGTAAAGTTCTTAAGCATCCGCCTCTCACAGGCTGTAACATTTCAGTGATTATGGTGAAAGACTAGATGTTATTACTGTGGAAGTTAGGGCATGCTTTGGTAGGATTTCTTGTGATTAGTATCAAAAAAGCCTAGATTGTTTTTTTTTTAAATTTAATTGAATTGCACTAATTCCCTGTGTTCTTTTTAGGGCTAAGGAGAGTATGTACCATGCCTTGGGCTACAGTACCATTGTGGTGTTGCAGGCTGTCATGACCTTTGAGCAACAGGACATCCAAAAAGGCATTTCTGCCATGAAGGACGCTTTACAAACCTGCCAAAAGTATGACTGAAGAGTTAAATACTTGAGATCTGACCCCCAAACCCTGATCCTGTGTGATAAAATGAGCCTTATTTGCCTAAGAACTCTGGTTAAGGTTGGCCAGATACAGAAAAGGATTTCAGCTTCAAAACTTCTTGGCCTCATCCAATTTTATATAATAGAGTTTAACAATTCCTACCAGGAATAGTGTGGTTCCCAGACTTTTCTTCTTGATAGTTTAGGGCCTCAGCTAAAGAGAAGATGTGAGGGAGATTTCAGTGAGGTTAATAGCCAGCATCTCTCAGGTGTCTCCTGAAGTGGATGAGATTTGAGTACTGTATGCTGTGCCAAGTCAAGCAAGGAGCTTGTTTTATGTGGGATGCTGCAAATTCCAACAGGATTATTTTGTTCATATAAGAAGAACTTATGTTGGGTACTTTGGATTGGTCAAAATAAGATAGATTTTTTTCATCATATTTTGAGCTTTCCTCTGTATGTTTAGGAATAACATAGTAAAAGCTATTATTAGTGTTAGTAAATTTTAACATGGGTAAATTGACATCTTTATATATTATGTTGTGAGCCCCTCAAATGAAGAGCACTTTCAAATAGTGCACTTTAACTCCACTGGTGACATAGCCATAGAGATAAGGGAAGACCCCTAGCAGGTTTAGTATTCAGTGTGTGTGGGTTTGTCCCACATGTGGGGTGTAAATATGGGGTGACTGTCTGTGGGTTGCTAGCCCTGTGCTAGGAGCTAGGTGTGCAGTTGATGGAAAAGGGTGGCCTCTTCCCTGCAGATGTGAGGGTTTAGAGTTGCAGCTTGGTGACTTTTTGGTGTGACTGCTGAAATGAATGTCAAATGAAAAAGAACACAGCCTGATTTGTTTTTATTTTTTCTTTCTATTTCCTATCTCCCTATCTATTTACTCAATGTAGATATAGGAAAAAATGCACAGTTGTAGAATCTTTTTCAAGTCTTCTTTCTCGAGGATCATTGGAACAGCTGAGTGAAGGTATGAGTGATTTCAAAGATTAATTTTTATTTTTTTTTTAAATTAAAAGGTAGTCATGTTCATAAAATTCAATACTGAAGTGTAGAAAGTAAATGGAATCTTTTATCTTCCCCATTGTGCTTACCCTCCTGAAGTAACCATTGCTAATGGTGAATTTAAAGCCTTGCAGACTTTTCTATGTACAAACATATAAGAAACCCATAGGGTTTTGGTGGTTGTTTATGTGGTGTTCACCTTTTGCAAACATGGAATCATGTAATTCATGTCGTTCTATGATGTTATGTTTTCCCAGGTCATATAAATATGCTTCATTCTACACCTATGTAGTATTGCATATGATGGATATACATAATTTAGTTGTTTTTTTCTCTATTAAAGGACAGTCATATAATTTTTAGTTTTTCATTGTGGCAAATAATGATGTTCTAAAACCCTTGTACATGTGTCTTCACACATTTAAAAAATATTTCATAGGATAAATTCCTACAAATGGGATTACTAGTTGTTTTAGTCAGTTTTTTCACTGCTATGACCAAAAGACTGACAAAACAATTAGAGGAGGAGAAGTTTATTTGGGGCTCATAGTTTCAGAGGTCTCTGTCCATAGATGGTTTACTCCATTCCTCCTGGCCTCAGTTTGAGACAGAACATCATGGCAGAGAAGTGTAGCTGAGGAAAGCAGCTGGGAACTTGGTACCAGGAAGCAAAAAGAGAGAGCTCCCCTCACCACAGACAAAATATAAGCCCCAAGGCTACGCCCCCAATGACCCACCCACGCCTGTAGCCACACCCTACCTGCCTTCAGTTACTACCCAGTTAATCCCTATCAGTGGATCAACACACTGATTAGTTTAAGGCTCTCATAACCCAACCATTTCACCTCTAACTTTCTTGCATTGTCTCACACATGAGCTTTTGGGAAACATTTCATATCTAGATCATAATACTAGTTCTAAGGGTTTGAAATTTTAAAAAATTTACAGGCATTGCAATTTTTTTCCTCTAAAAACTTAAGACACTTATATTCTTACTATCCACTTATGAGAGTTTCAGTTTTCTCTGTTATTAAGAATTTTTTCCAAGGTCAAAGTAATTTTGATAACTTTTAAAAAGTGTTAATACTTCACAGTATCATAGGTATTCTGTTAGTGGACAGGTAGTTAGGAATGTTCAGGAATCTAGGAATGCCCACAGCATCCTGAGCAGATGCATGGGAAGAAAGGACGCCTGTTGTCAGTTACTTGATGTTCCTGCTGAGATCAGGGCAGAAGTTTCCAGTTGTTTGATTGATGTTTTACCCTAGTGAGGATGGCTTACCAGAAAAGAGTGTGCAGGTAACCCTGCAGAATTAAAAATATGTCCTTCAGAAACTTCTGTCATCTCAAAGGAATCTGTTCCTGCATTGTCATTGTCAGACTTGCTCTCTGGAGAAAGTAACACAAAATACTTGAAATCTTTGTGGCTGATTAAAAGCAAGAGCAGTTTTGAAAACTGTCAGAGGCATTTCTCATGGTCAAGTGTACGTCACACACATTATTGAATGTGTTTTATCATGAAGTGTTCATTTTTTTAGACAAGTGTCATCAACTCATTATGGACATTGGAGAACTTGGGAACATTTGCGTGATGTGAGTTTCAAGTGTTGATCACCAGAGAGGATTGATGCATATCACATCTTCAGGACTTGTTCTGAGAGGGTGTGATGTTGCCTCCCAAACAAAATGGCATTTCATTGGTCATTCTGTTACAGGGCAGATGCCTACTGTGAAACTGAGGCAGTGCGGAGGCCCCCTCTTTTCTTGAAATTAGGCCAGAAAGATTTAAAACTTGTCATTCAGAATAATAGTTATGAGTTTAGAGGGGATAAGAAAGACGAAAAGGGGATACTATTAAGGGAGAGATGGGTTCTTTCAGAGAAGAGAGAGATATTGGGCCCTTCCTGCTCTCCAGTTTTAGTGGCAGAGGGGGTCTTGAAAGTTTCCAGAGTCCCACCCAGGTCTACCTTTGGATTTTTTTTTTTTTTCCTGACAGCACAGGACTACATGGACTGTATCCATGGGAGGATGGCATGATGCTCAGAGTTGGGGATTTTAAGGAAATAGAGTCCCCCTGTTTTTGCCTCTGTTTCCTATCACCTGAATTGGTTATTACCCTTGAATAGCCATCAGTAAGCTTTCTTGTGAGGGTCTTGATGTTTGATTGCCAAGATGATTGGTGGCTGTGATACTTGTGACAAGTACCCTTCCTTGTCTTAGCTCTGCCCACCCATTCATGGCTGACTGGCTACCTAGCAACTCTAGACCCCTGAAACCCATCTTGCTTTTTTCTTCCAGAAACTGACCTCCAGGTATCCATAAGAATAAAAATTTGCACTAGTAGTTCTACAGTCCTCTAACGAAGATTAATAGGAGATTAAATAGCCCCCCGCCCCCAATCCAAGGGAATCTGAGGACTCTGTTTGTATTCCCTGTTCTGTTACACTCTATATGGCTTCTCTACTGACCCCTGCTTCCCTCTTTCTTTGTAGTATGAAAATGATATTGGAGATTTTTTTAACCTTAGTTTTAGGGAGAATGACATGATGTGAGTATAAATAGTAATTTAAAAAATGATATGATAATAACCATTAAAAAATACTTTCTATGTGCCAAACATTAACCAATCTATTCCATGTAACCTCCTCATTAAACTAGGAGCTAATGTTTGGAGAGATTGGATAGGTGGTCTAGGTCACCCACCTTTCAGAGCAGGGTTTAAAGCTGATGTGCCTTTCCTGGTAGCCCAGCTCTCTCTATTATACATACTTGTTCCTGTAGGTAGCTAAAAAATGGGTGAGGAAAATGTGGGATCACTCCTGTGTTAAACATCTTAAAAACAAATGTTACTCTGTTCTTATCCTTTTATAATTTCTTTGGATAGTGCACTTCAGGAAGTCTGGAATGAGGTAGAAAACTTTGGCTAATTATAAAAATTGTATAGACTGTGGCTATAGTCTATTCTGAAATATAGACTTTATACCTAAAAGCTGTACTTGGCTAACATTTCAGTGCACCATGAATTTATTTCCTTCAGTGGCCTAAGGGTTTTATAATTCAGTGGCATTCTACTAGTGCCTATTTGTAAGTGCCCAATACTAATTTTGAGAACCAGAGAACTGCCCTATGTAAATCATCCACAGTAAAGGAAGAAATAAGACTTGTATAAATTAAGTTGCTTTTTTCTTCCCAGTGAGCTTGGCTGTCACTACAACCCAGACAGACTTTGTGTTCAAGAGAGCATGTCAAAACATTGTCGTTTTAGTATGTGATTTGTTTTCCCTCTTGGTAATTTTCATTTACATCGTTGAGTGTCTGGTTGTCTGCAGGAATGAGTATATTTCATTAAACTTTTCATGGGCTTAATGTGGAACACACCTGCTCTTCTCTCATGGCTGGCGGATTGTGCTGAACGGGTTTCAAATTGACTTTAAAAAGAGATATTTAAATGCAATGTCTAGGATGTGAGCTATAATATGAAGAATACTTACATGTGGAATATAGAATTGGAATTCTCATGCCTTTTTCACTTTGCTTTCTTGTTACATCTTTTATGTTGCTCTTTGATTTGTCCATTGTTAACCTAACCATAATCCATTCACTCTTCTTTTCATATGTTTTCAGGGACTCATGGTTATCTACTGAATCCAGGGCAGACTGTGACAGTCAAGGTCATCCATAGTTTAACTCCTACTTACCTTTCCAACCTCATTGCTCTCTCTTCCTTGACTGTACACCACATTCTACAGCCAAAGGTGGCCTGGGCTTTTCTTGCTCCATGCCTTTTTTCCTGCTGATCCCCTCTGCACATGCCCCACGCCAGCAATCTGATCCTTAGCATAGTGTTAATAGCCCCTGAAAGTTCTCACTGTGTTATAGACTTACCTAGGAAGAGGATATTCTTGTGACTCTAAAAATAAAAGTTATCAGTTTTTATTCCATTGAAACACTGAAAAAATCAAGAGGCACATTTTTAGGGAAAGTGTTCTAAAGAACTGCAGCTCTGATTATTGATCCTGCTGGGATACACACAGGCAGGTATAGGTCCCCAAATACTGCTTGTTGTGGGTTTGGACCTGTCTGTGTGCTGTTGGGGATCTTAGATGCTTATATACTTCTTCATAAATTGAACATTTGGAATATGAGCACAGCAAGAAGTTGAACTCATATGAAAGAGCCAATGGGTTGTGTGTGTGTGTGTGTGTGTGTGTGTGTAATTGAAAGGTGACACATTCTTATCTATTTTGATCAATAGCATTTACAATTATACAGACATATACCCTGTTTTTCCATCACTTACTTGTCATAAAAATGCTTTCTGCTTTCTAAGTTTTTACCAAAATGCACATTGGTCAAAGACAGTAATCTTAGTGCAAGTAGCTAACATTTATCAAGTGTTTACTGTGTATAGTGAACTCTACATGCAGTGCCTCATTTAATCCTTCACCTGTGAAATAGAGACATTATTAGTGGATTTTATAAATGAGGCAACCAACAGAGAAAGAAAGGCTAGCTTGCACAAGGTTCTATAGCTAGAACATGGCAAAGCCTTTTCTCCAAACTCAAGTACTTAAATAACATACTGATTTGCAATCCACTGAGAAAGCAGGAATCTGCTGATTGTGTTTAAGCAAACATGCAAGATTTGTCTCCCTAATCTCTGCAAGTATAATAGATTATTTAAGAAAATAAGGAATGTGTTTTGGGGGCATTCCACATATCCCTGGGACATACATAGCCTCCACAACCCCCTTTTGCAAGGCATCTTGTTTTTGTGCTGGATATCTAATGATAAAGTTACCCTAAAACTGGAATAGTCCTGACTCTCTTTAGATCAAGTTTGATTTGTGTGCAGAACCCTGACCTGAGTGCGTTTTCAGAGAGCTCTGGAGAATTGATGCATTCACTTCAGGTTAATAATGTTTCTAGTCATTGTCATGTTTGTCATACCTTCATATTTTAGAAGTTAGAGTTTATAAGTTTCATATAGGTTTTTTTCAAACTTTACAACTGTGTTAAACTTTAATGTTACTGTTAAGTTAAAAAAGTGTTTTTTTTTTTTTTAAAGACTTAAATATTGGTTCTCCTTATGAGCCAAATTTGGGTTTTGGACATCAAATGTGGACTCCTGTTGTGTTTGAATGGGGCCAATGATGACTTCCCTGAACTTTGCATACATTCCAGAGGAATGTTGCTGAATCAGCACTAATAATGGGTTTATGTATCCCTTTTATGGAAGAACAAAAGCAATCTAGGTGTTAATATCTCTTTTGGGATCATTTATTTATCAGTCTTTTCTGAATATCTATGGCAATTACTGTGGACTTGGGATTTTTCTTAACATATTTTTATTTATTTTTTAATAGAGGAGATGCATGCTGAAATCTGTTATGCTGAGTGTCTTCTACAGAAAGCAGCACTCACCTTTGTGCAGGTAATGAATGTCTGTCTTAGAATTGGTATTGGCTGAGAAGCCTACTAATACTGCATAAAAAAATGTGACTCAGTCAAGTGTTAGTGCTCCAGTTATTTTGTCTTACAGGGTTAATGAAAAATATTTGTTATTCTGATAAACTTTGGCTATAAAAAACCTCCAGAGAACTTTTTATCTACTCAAATGTACTTCAGAGTCTATTTTGAGCTTTTCAGTCTAATGGGACTTACTGCCTTATAAAGAAATGCCTTATAAAGGCCACACCTAATTTCAGACTGCTTTTCCATGTGAAAACTGAGATTATTCCATTTTGTACTTTCTTATGATAGAGGGCCTCCCACCAAAGTGGCCCAGGCAGAGGAAGGCCCCTTATTCCTAATGGCCCTTCCTGCCTTCCCTCCTCTCAGGGTTTTGCATGTGCTAGGCGATTGCTGGACCACTGAACTGCATCTTCAGCCTGGCTATTCCTTCTTGCTTCAGTGAAGCTCCATCTTGCATATATCAATAACCACATTTTTTGTGGATACTTCAAATATTATTTTTCCCCACTTTCTATTCTTAGACCCCTTTCTTTTAGTTCTTCCTTCTGAAAGGAAAGTTTTAAAGTTACTAAATAAAACAATGAATCTTTTTCTCATGAGGCACTTTAATTTCACCTCTAAGAACCGTTATAGTTGGTATTTTGCCTATCTCTGTATTTTCCAGTACTTCCAAAAAATTATATTTGCACATGGTAGCCTCTAAGGTGATAGTGAAGGCTATAGGGGTGGGGTCAGGAGTATAAGGAGAGACAAAGAAACTCAACTATAAAATGATAAATCTTCCACTCTAAAATCTTTTGTATTTTTTTGAGAATTGCTTCTCTCTTTTTCTGGAAGTTGACCTCTTAGGTTAGATTTTGGTTTAGTAAAAGTGAATCAGTGTGGTATTTTCTAAAACCCTGTACATTACACAGTCTGGCTAATAACAACAATTTTACTATCTTAGTAAACAATATGAAGCTATCCACAGAGGCCCCTGTTTTTTTTCTGATGTGTTTTCCAATGGGGATTAGACATTTGAATATGGGATTTGAAAACTTATTTTATATTTAGGGAGTTAAAATTTAACAGCTAGAAAATGTACATAATTTTCCACTCTTCCTTGTGCCTCATATCACTTTCATATTCATGCTGCTTTTGCCTTTTAAAGATTGCTTAGCTACATCTCTACTTTGTTGTGACTCTCATTGTTGCAGTGGAGTTGCTCATCAGCTCTTGCCTGGACTGTGCAGCAATCTAGTGACTATCTCTAATTTCCATTTATCTCCCACTCATTCTTCACTCTGTCATTGAGTATATTTTAAACAATGAAGACTCTGACCTTGCCTTTTCTCTGTTTCAGCATTTAGTCACTCTTACTGACCATGGCAGTGTCCTCTGTCAGAATATCACAAGTTGGGAAGGTGTTTCTCCCCAAATTCCAGACTCCCTGCCTTCAGGTGTTACTGATAGGAATGTTGCATACTTGAGTGGCATGAGGGGAGAGGTAGCTTTCTTCCTCCTTGACCACTGCTTTCCTTAGCAGTGCTGGTGTATGTATGCACAGGTGGCCATGCACATCATGACTTTTTTTTTTTTTTTAATTTTTTTTTTTTTTTTGAGAGAGAGAGAGAATTTTTTTAATATTTCTTTTTTAGTTTTCGGCAGACACAACATCTTTGTTTGTATGTGGTGCTGAGGATTGAACCTGGGCGGCACGCATGCCAGGCGAGCGTGCTACCGCTTGAGCCACATCCCCAGCCGAACACATCATGACTTTTAATGCTTCTTGGCTTTTCTCTTTCAGTTTTCCTTTGTTTGAAAGTTCACATTTGCTTTGCCTTTTTTTCACCTGGCCACTTCCAATTTTTTTTTTTTTTTAAACTTTAAGCACTGATACTTCAAGAGTATTTTTCTGGCCTTCCACATATCTCCATTTTGTGCTTTCATGAGAAGCTGTGCATGCCTTCATCTCTGTTTTTGCATTCAGGTGCCTGGTGTAACACAGACATTCAGTAAATATTTGATGAACTGTGAAATGAAATACTCTTATGTCAGATTTTAATCTAACCCAGGAAATTCTTTCCTGACTAGTGTTAGAACTTATGTAATTATAGGATTCCTTAAAATAATGTGATAAACATTTAAATTGCATAGTGAATTTTGTATCTACTGATTCTTATATGACATTTGGAATATTAAATATTTCAGTAGCGAATGAAATTAGTGAACTGAGTTTATCTTTTGCTTCAGAAGGATGCTTAAGATATACAAGAAGTAAATATCAGAGCTTTTTTCTGATAACAATAGATTAGAAAACTTCCTCCCTGGAAATGTGAAGCATGGCACTGTCTCTATTAGTACCATCTATTAAAATAACCTTCTTCCAGTGGTTATTTAATATAATTTATTAAGAGACTGTCTTAGAATGCTGACCTTGAAAATGCCATTTATCTAGGCTAATTGCCTCAATTGTATGGTCAATGATCATCAGGCAAAAAAACAAACAAACAAAAAAAAAAAAAACAAAAAACAAAGTGATGCTACCCTCCATCTCCTCAAAACAAAATTGCACATTAGTGATAGCCACTTCAGAATCCAGACCAGTTATTTTGGTCTAGAAATGTGTATGAATGAAATTCACAATGTTAAACAGGCTCTGCCAGCTCAAGTACCCTGTGAAAGAGGAAACATAGTTCCATTTACTGGATATGATGAATGAGAAAATTTGGCCTTAGAACAAATACTTTAAATCAATTATTTTGAATTTGAATGAAACCAAAAGAACATTGATCAGTAAATGATGATATTTATTAAAGTAAGTTTGGACTACATTTGGCCCTTAATTAGTGAGGATTTGTTCCTTAGAAATATAAAGTGATACAAGGATTTAAAAAATACTTTCATTGTTTTCTAACTTGTAAGAAAAATTACAAAAAGGTACATTCCAAATGTTAAGCAAGAAGCATGTGTTAATTTCAATACTGTGTCCTCAAAAAGATAGTATTTTTCCCCCTAGTTGCACAAATATGCAAGTGTTGGAACAATTTAAAATTTTTTGCTAAGTGATATATTTATTTAATTGACTTATTTTCAGGATGAAAATATGATCAACTTCATCAAAGGTGGACTCAAAATTAGAACAAGTTACCAAATATATAAGTAAGTTTAAAAAGTAAAACATGACTTTTAAATGATTTTTGTGCTTACATTACTTTGTTTTTCAAAATTCTCTTAATGTGGTAAGTTTAAAAAATTTTTAGTATTGGTAAAAATGCACTTGATTTTTGGTTGAGTATGTTTTCAGTGCTATAAGGCAATAGAATTTAAGTTTAAATAAAAATTTAAGAGCAAAACAGCAGGAAAGAAAGTGACTGTTATGATTTCTGCTCAGATAATCCTAGTTTCTCACTCCTAAGGATAACTTATACATTTCAAATAACAGGTATGTCTTTGGTCCAGACTCTAGAGCAACTCTGCCCCCTAGAATTGCAGTGGATAAAAATGTTCAATTTAGGTGGCTCATAGAGTTGTTCATGTCTTCTGTATACTTAGTGATTTTTATCTAGTTTTTCTACCAGCTCATGAGAGTGTTGAAGTTTCCAACTTGGAATGTGGAGTCATCCATTTCTCCCTTTAGTTCTATCAGTATTTGCTGTAGATATTTAGGACCTCTGGTAGGCTCATGTATATTTATAATTGTTCTGTTTCCCGAATGAATTAGCTTTTTTTTTTTCATTATAAAATGTCCCAATTTAGCTCTCGTAGTATTCCTTGTCTTAAAATGTATTTTTATAATATTAATATAGCCAATCATGCTTTTTTTATAAGTCTTTGTACGATATATATATATATATTTTACTTTAAATCTACCCTTGTTTATATGTTTAAGTTGCATTTCTTGTAAATGCACATAATTGGATGATTGATATTGTGACTGCCATTTTGCCTTTTTTTGTCTCATCTATTTACCCCCCTTTTCCTGTCTGATTTTGCTTGAACAAAAAAATTAAATTCCATGTAATCCTTGTCTTCTTAGTTACATCTCAGATTTGTTTCAGAAGTTGCTATAGTGATTTTAATCTCCTTTTAACCTTATCACAGTCAATTTAGAGTTAATATTGTATCATTGCATATAAAGTAGAACTTTGTAGAAGTACAGCTTCATTTCCCACTTGCTATCCTTTGTAATGTTCTTTTTTAAAAATTATTTATTTGTTCTTTTTAGTTATGCATGGCAGTAGAATGTATTTTGACATATCATACATACATAGAGTATAACTTCCCATTTTCATGTTTGAATGTGATGTGGAGTTATGCTGGTTGTGTATTCATATAAGAACATAGGAAAGTTAATTCCAACTCATTGTACTGTCTTTCCCATTCCTGTCCCCTCTCCCTTCCCCGTCTGATTTGGAGATACTCCCTCTCCCACCCTGCCCATGTGAGTTAGCATCCACATATCAGAGAAAACATTCAGCCTTTGGTTTTGTGGGATTGGCTTATTTTACTTAACATCCATTTACTGGCAAATGCCATCATTTCATTCTTCTTGTTGGCTGGGTAATATTCTGTTTTGTGTATGTACCACATTTTTTAAATCCATCGTCTGTTGAAGGGCATCTAGGTTGGTACCACAGCTTAGCTATTGGGAATTGACCTGACATTGATGTGGCCATGTCAATATAGTATTCTGATTTTAAGTTTTTGGATATATACCAAGGAATGGGATAACTGGGTCAAATGGTGGTTCCATTCTGTGTTTTCTAAGGAATCTCCGTACTGCTTTCCATAGTGTTTTTCCATAATTTGCAGTCCCACAAGCAATATGAGTTTACCTTTTCTCCCACATCTTCGTCAACATTTGTTGTTACTTGTATTCTTGATATTTGCAATTCTGACTGGAATAAGATGAAATCTCAGTGTAGTTTTAATTTGCACTTCTCTTGCAATATTCTTATGATGTATAGTACAGTTATGTATGTTAGAAGCCCCCCCTGGCAGTACCACGGCAGCCTTAAATAGTTTGGTGTTGTCTTCTCTCTTTACTCAAAAAATCACCATTTTTAGTATAATTCATTCATTTCTGTTTATTTTCAGACTGAAGGACTTTAGCATTTCTTGTGTATGTCTGCTTTCAAAAAATTTTCATTTATTTGAATTGTCTTTCTTTTTTCCTTCATTTTCAAGGATACTTTTGCTAAGTATTTACTATACTGAATCAACAGGTTTGTTTATTTCTTTTTTCAGCCTTCTGAAACTGCTATCCATTGTATTAAGGTCTTTGTTGTTTGTGATCCGAAGTTAGTTGTCATTTGTACTATCATTCTTCTTATTTAATGTGTCATTTCATCTGGCTCTTTGAAGACTATTTTGTGTTTTGAGTCTCATCACTTTGACTATGATATGCCAAAGTATGATTCTGAGAGATCTATGGTCATTATTCCTTCAGATATATATTTATTTATTTAAAAAAATTTCCCCCCCTCCCCATTACTCTGTCCTTTCCTTCTGGAACTCCTAAATTACATATTAGTCTGCCTGATTTTGTTCAATAGGCTACTGAGGTATTTTTTTAAAAAAGAAAAATTTTTTCAGATTGGACATTATCTCAACATCTGTGTCATCATAGAGTTAGTTTCTATTGACTGCTTTTTCTTTTGACTATGTAAACTTGCTGATGATTGAGCTTCCTTTACTCCCAAAAAGATTGGTCCTGATAAAAATGGGTGTTTTCTTTTTCCTTAATAATTCTTCCCAGATGGCCTTAAGAGAAAATTTAGCATAGCATTATCCATTTAAACATTCTGTGGTATTTTGTCTAATGACATTTATAGTGTGCAAGTGTAAAATTTGATTTAACATTTATTTTAAGTTATGGAAAACTTATGTTATAATCTTTTTTCTTCAATCCAGAGAATGTCTTTCTATCCTGCATGTAATTCAGAAGAATAAACTCGAGCAAGAATTCTTCTATGAGTTTGAAGGAGGTGTCAAGCTTGGAACAGGGGCCTTTAACTTGGTAAGGTAATAATTCTATAGAAACCAGTTTTTTGTAGAAAACCTAAGGTTTTCATTACCTTCTTGATTGCACTTGGACCTTATTCTTAACTCACACTTGGGTTTAGGGGATAAGTGGCTAAAGTGGGTCCATTTTTGTTTGTTTGTTTTTTTACCCAGCCGGACTTTGGCTACTGTGTGTAGTAAAGCTATACATGTGTTCAGGGAGGCTTTGGATTGTACAGTGTAAGAGAAGCATGCAGCACTCTTAGTGGACTAGTAAGACTTTTAGTAACAAGAAGCTTAGAATCTAGTTCCATTTCCACATCAGAAATATTGTTGCTGTAATAATCAATGATGGCTCTGGGATTGAAAATATAAAAGGGAGTGATATAGCTTGATAAATAATTTTTGATGATCTCTAGGGAAATGGAGAGTCTCCAATATATTATTTAGAGATTTTGAAATATTATGAAGATTTTATTGGAATTCATGAGAACGTGATAAAGAGAATCATATCTATGAGTGTATGGACCACCAGGGACATTTTTTATGAACCTATTGTGCTATGACTAGTAGCCAGAAAAAGAGGCCTGTTCATGTCCGTGTACCCACTGGTTATTAAAATCTGCAGCATTCATAGGGGACCCACATATCTTCATATTTTCTGCCTATTTGGAGAAGCCTGTCCACCATCTCTGCCCCAGACATTTTTGCCATCAATTTTCCAATCACGTTCCTTCCAAGCCCCTGAGCCAAACCATTGACCATAGGCCATGAATTAGTACATAGACACATATGACTATTTCTGCTTTCAAGCAAATTGTTTTCCAGATGCACTGCCCTGGCTCTGTTTACCAGATTCTCACTACTCACAGGGAGAATTTCCCTTCCTCCCTTACTTCAGGGATGAACCAAAAAGGAGCCGTAGTACTGTAGCTGTTCACTTCCAAGTAGGGTCTGTATATTGCCCAGAATACTAAAGATTTCTCTTTCTAGGAAAGAAATTTAAGAAGAAATCTTGTCTAGAAAGGGTGCTAAGGAATAAAATTGCTATCATTTTATCACTCCATATAGAAGAAGCTATAAGCCAGTGTTCTTTAGAGAACCACTGAAGGGACAGACTTTGTTTTCTCCTTCAAAAAAGGATTTTTTTAAGGTTCTTTACTTTAGTAAATGAAATTCATAATTATTATAGTATGTGGTGATTGAGACATATCTAGTGTTTAAACTTGTTTCTAATTTTTCATATTACTGAAACATTAAAAATTTACAAGTTGTTGGTAGTTACTGTTTGTGTATAGTTAGATATACTAACACACACACGCATACACAAAAATATATATATGTATGTTTTTCTTTTCCCCCTTACAGATGCTGTCTCTTTTACCAGCAAGGATTATCCGATTATTAGAATTTATTGGATTTTCTGGAAACAGGGTACAAATTTAATTTTATATTAATTTTGGCATTATTTATTAACTATGAGAATATTGTAACTTGTCCTTCCAAATAGCATGAAAATGATTGGAAATTTGTTTGTAGGACAATAAAGAACCATTGGTCTTGATCATATCTTTCAGGAATTAAGCGTGGATTTTCTGTTGAAAGTTTAAAATCTCATCTTTCTTACCTAGATTCTGGGTTTAAAAATTATGTTTTACTGATATTGCTGCTTGCTGGATCTTTATAACTTCTATGTGGTTAAACTACTTCCTTATTATTTTACTAACCCCAGAGTTATCTTCTGTAAAACAAAGAAATTGGGATAGATTTCCATATCTAATAGTTTATAATTCTGACAGATTAATAGCATGGATTAAATATAGTGGCAATATTTTGGATTTCCATATTTTTTACTAGTTTCACTGTGGAACTAAGTGAGAAAATTTGCTTTCCGTGAGTTTTATTCATTCAATTTCTGTGTGGTGGTTGTTTCGTAGCAAGTATATAGCATTTATTAATCATAACACTCAGTATGCTATTAAAAGAGTTGTCTCTTTGCAAAAACTGTTTCTTTTAGTCAAAGAGCAGGTTTTGAGACATGTAATGAATAAATGAAAGAAAAAACGTTTATTCCACTGTCCATATTCTTCCTAGGCTATTATGTATTTGTGGTGATCTCTTTATGATAGGTTTTGTTTATATATATATATATATATATATTTTGACTCGGTACATTTTTTATCTTACTCCTTAACCATTCATCTTCCACCTTATTCCTTCAGTAGCTCCCAGTTACCTTCTCCCCCTCCCTCCCTATGATACTGGAACTGACTCCAGGGTCTTATGCAAGTCTGGCAAGTGCTCTACCACTGAACTACTTCCTCAGCCCCAAGTTCGCCTCTTGAATAAAGTCCAGACTCTAACATGGCTTAAAGGTCCCCATAATCTCAATACTCATGCTGAACTGAACCCTTAGTTGTTCCTTAAACAGGCCCTGAGCTTTCCTGGTTCTGTGCTTCTGCTTGTCTCTGTTTTCAGACATCTTCCACAATGAGCTTCCTCCCAATAATGGAGAGTCTCTCCATTCACTGGATTTGAAATAAATGCCACCCATTCCACAAAGCTTTCCATTAGTCCCCCAACAGGCTCAAGCATTCCTAACTTTCAGAATCATTCATTCGTTCAAGTGTTCATGTGCTGTCTTCCTCAGTTGATGGCAGGGTCTTTGCAGACATACTCACCAGAGTGCTTTGCACTTGAATCCTCAGTATGTTTTAATAAGTATATATTTTTATTAGAGAAATATAGCATGTTTATGAAGTGAGCACTGCCTTATTATCTTGCTAAAATCACATAATACAAAAGAATTCGTGAGATTGTGTTATGCCAGTCAAAATATGAAGTTTGTTTCTAGTTGAGCTTTACCACTATTTTAAACTTCTAAAAAAATACCCCACCTTCATGGAGGGCAGAAATAAATTAATTAACATGTGATAGTTTTCATTTATAATCTTTCAATTATGATGGATTCACATAGGAGTTGGGCCTCCTGCAGCTTCGGGAAGGTGCATCGGGAAGAAGCATGAGATCTTCACTGTGCTGCCTAACCATCCTGGCTTTCCACACTTATATCTCCCTCATACTTGGTAAGGTGTAGATTATATTATGCTTCATTGAAAGTTGGTTATCTTTAATCTGAATAAGTAAAAATGTAGAAAAATCAGTTAGTACTTTCTGCCTGTTTGCTTTTTTTTGAGTAAAGATGGAAAATAGTGACGTTGTCATAGTGACATTTGACAGGGAGTGGGCTCCTTTCTTTCATTGAAGATTTTTCTTTTTCTTAACTAAAATTTCTGCATTAAAGTAATCTATTTAATCATTTTTAGATTTATTTTGTGTTAGGTTAATTTTTTGACTAAAATAAATTAATATTGCTATTGAAAGCAGAAATTCCAATTAGGAAACTAGGAATTTAAGATAGCTTCCTCTATTCTCAAGAATTCATCTGACCCAGAGCTGTCTAAAATAGTCATAGATGACACTTGTCTTTATTTCTCAGATGTGAAAAATGAGAAAGTAATCATTTTCATTTTTCCATGAATATGTCTTTACTACATGTTAGTGAAATATGGAGAGAGAGTTATAAACACCTGCCATGTTTCATGAAGACTGAGGTTTTTCCTGTTGAATTTCTAGGTACAGGAGAAGTGAATGTTGGGGAAGCAGAGAGTCTCCTTGCACCCTTCCTCCAGCAGTTTCCAAACGTATGTTTGGTATTTCAATTGTATATTTCAACCATAATCAATCAGCCAGCATTGACCGTTGAACAGTGTGTTTTCTTCCTTTCTGTACAGGGCTCACTCATGTTGTTTTATCATGCCCGAATCGAGTTGCTGAAAGGGAATATTGAAGAGGTAACTTTTTTGGTGGGAGTTGTTTGGGGGAGCTATCTGTGTGGTAGAGTTGCATCACACAGCCATTCTACATAAGTAAATCCAACTATGTGGACTAGCTAAAAACAAAGAAAAAGACATTTTAATTAAAAGGCCAACATTTTAACTTGTGTATATATCCTATTATATATAGTAGGTTACTGAGAGCAACCTTACACATAAAATGCATGAGACAGTTCAGAGTAGAATATACAAAATAACAGGTGAGTAGTCTGAGGCATTTTCTTTTTCTTTTTCTTTTTTTTTTTTTTTTAAGAGAGAAACAGAGAGAGAGAGAGAGACAGAGAGAGACAGAGAATTTTAATATTTATTTTTTAGTTATTGGCGGACACAACATCTTTGTTTGTATGTGGTGCTGAGGATTGAACCCGGGCCGCCCTCATGCCAAGAGCTACCGCTTGAGCCACATCCTCAGCCCTCTGAGGCATTTTCAAAAATTTTTGATTGTTATCAATTAATGCATTGTATACATTACCTTTGGAATGTAGGACCTATATAAGATGCAGTTCCATTATATTGTGTATGGGCTCTTCATCAAAGGATCTTATTCACAAGTTCCCTGAAGATGTAAGAGCGAGGAGCCTTTTATGTGCATACACACACAAATGAGATCAAACATGTATATTTTTCTGTGATTTTTTTTTTCCTTGTTTACAATACATCTTGGATCTTTCTCCAGGTCAGTATATATAAATTTCCTTCACTCTTTCTGATGGCTTGGTTTCATTTTATGGGATGAATATACTATACTAAAGTCTACTGTTGGTAGATATTTGTCCACTACAAATAATGCTGTTGACAGCAGCATTGTATGTTCATTTCTGTGCACAAGTATATTGACCTAAGCCAGATTCTGATCATTAGAATGGCTAGATTGGAATATGTTTACATTTTGATCTATCTAGCCAAAACGTCCTCCTTTTTTAAAGGTTCTTACAACGTGAACTCTCGTAAAGATATGAGAATGCTTGTTTCCAGTGCTCTTTGTCAAGTCTAGACATTTTCCATCTTCTAAATTTTTGCCAATGTGATCATTGATAAATAACAGATCTGATTTTTATGTTTATATTGCCCAGTTTACAAATTTCTTTATATATATGTAATTTGTATATCTTTTTCTCTGGTTTGCTTGTTTCAATCTTCATCATTTTCCCTTTGAGTCTAATCTTAAAGAATCTTACAAAATTTATGTCTGATAAGGGGTTAGTTAACCTTTTGCCAGGTGTGAGCAGGCATGTCTTCTCCCAGTCTTCTAGTGCCTGGGACTGTGTTTATAGTGTGTTTTGTCCATTGGAATTTCTACCTTTAATATTGTCAGTCTTCTTTTTAAAGGACTTAGGTATTATATATCTGGAAAGGTGCTTCCCCACTCCCACATTATAAAATGCCAGGGTCCCTCACAAAGTTATATGAAAAGACAGAACTTAACTGTATTATTGCATGTAAGCAGAGAATCATATTTATCATATTGAGTGGTTTAATAAGTGATAATTTTGTTCTTTTTGTACAAAGTGTTTTATGTATTTTTCCATTAGGTTATTATCTCCTTGTCTAATATCTGGATGATCAGCTTTATGCAATTGACTTATAGGCACAAGAGATATTTCGAAAATGCATTTCAGTTCAAGAAGAATGGAAACAGTTTCACCATCTCTGTTACTGGGAGCTAATGTGGATTTATGTATTCCAACAAAACTGGATGCAGGCGTATTACTATTCAGATCTGCTTTGCAAAGAGAGTAAATGGTCCAAGGTAAGTGTAGTGCTTTCATTTGCTTATAAATGTCAGGATGAATTTTACTTAGGATTGTTTGTTCAGCAGTTTGACATTGAGGGAATGTGCCTTAAGTACCTAGTACTTAGCACTATCGTCAGTATTATGCGCTTTAAAAGCCATCCAAAGAGTTCTAACAGAGATTTTACTCTTTAAGAAGAACTGCAATTATATTTAAAGTTATTACATATCAATACTGTAATCTTGATAACTTTTTTGTAGATTTTCCAGTTCCCTGATGACCAGGCTTTTCATAATAATTAAAATAAATTCGGATTAATTTGTGAGAAGTTGGGAGGAGTGAGACAGTGAGCTTTCATTCATTTTGCCCACTTTCTCACCTATAAGTGATATAGTTATATAATAGGAAAATGCTCTAAATTAATTGGTCAGTGTTTTTCTTGATTGGAAATGACAACTTAAAACTTCTATTTCCTTTGGTTTCTTTGATGCCTTTTAATATTATATCTGGAAGATTTGTAGTTCATTTCTGATTTTCTAGGTAGAAAGTTCTTGTACCTCAAGATGTTACTATAGCAAGCTCTTTTCTTCTCCTCAAGGCAACATATGTATTTTTGAAAGCTGCAATTTTGAGTATGCTTCCTGAGGAAGATGTGGTGGCAACCAATGAGAATGTGGTAACTTTATTCAGGTAGGCAAGACACTAATTCTTTAACAAAGACCCTGAATATATAAACCAGTACACTAGAACATCTTTTGCCTTTTTTCCTTAGAGCTCCCTCATGATTCACTTTCATATTTATTAGATGGGAACCCCTAAACAATTTATTTACACAAGAGTCAAAATACCATTCTTCTGATAGGATTTTGCATATATGCTTGTGTGACAGGGAATTTTGAGAACATATTGTTTTATTTATGTCTTAAAACTTTTTTTTTTTTTTTATTTAAACTGGGGCTTTGCTAGTGCAATTATACTGGATTTCCCCCTTCCTATTTCATCTTACTCTTTCAGTGATGTAATTGGATATTTCCTTGAATTCTTTTCTCAACAACTTGTTTGATATATTCTTAAAATTATGCATAAGAAAATGCCCTCAGGAACATGTAATCTTCGCACCCTACTTTCATTTTTATTTGCTTGTGAATTTCATAATTGAAAGTTTTTAGAATTTTGAGAGGAAGTTTATAAATATGGTGTATATCTTAAACTGATTATTTCCAAAATCACCTATGCTTGGGAAACATTTTCTCAAAGTCTGCCTTAATTGGTGGCTATCTTGTGCCACATTATTTTATAGATCTGTGTTAGTCTTGCAAATAGGAACAGTAACAGTGTATGCTCCGTTCCCTCTCTGTGGGTATCCACACTGTAAGGAAATACCTTGTACTATTTCCTGTTTTCTTATGTGAATTGTCAATTTTATGTTTACATTGCCTGGACTGTGTTTGATATATGTAGTTTATTAGCTAAATTGACTAGAAGAAATGTGTCAATCAGTGATTCTCACTTGAGTGTACATCAGAGTACATGCTGAGTGTGCATCAGACTCCTGATTGCTGGTCCCACCACTGGAATTGTTGATTTAGTAGGTCTAGGGAAGGTCCTGAGATTTGGCATTTCAAACAGGCTCCCAGCATCTGCTGCTGCTGTGTGCCCTGCAATGTGAAAACCACAGGTGTAAATAATGTGTGTTTACTGACCTTTCTTTGGGGTTGGGGATCTTCACAGACAGGTAGATGGCTTGAAGCAGAGAATTGCTGGTAAATCTCTCCCTACTGAGAAGTTTGCAGTGAGGAAGGCTCGGCGTTACTCCCCCTCCTTGCCTGACCCTGTAAAGCTCGTCCTGCCAGCCCTGGTTTGTGCTTTTATTTTATTTATTATTTGCATACTAGAAATAGTTTACTCAGAGCATCAGGGAGAATGTTAACTTTGGTTGGGAAGATAGCTGTTTTAAAAACCATTTTGTTTTGTAAGGTAAACCTAAGTGATTTATTAACAAATAATAAAAATTATAGCTGATTTTTTTTGACTAGTTGATATACTCCAGGCATTATGATAAAGGCTATTTTTTTTTTTTTTAGAGAACCATATCAATTTAATTTTTACAATACCTATGAATGTGGTCTTGTTAGCCCCATTTTATAGATAAGAAAGTTTAGGCAGAGAGAAGGGAAAGTTGACTTCATTGAAACTGAATTGAAATAGAATGTGAGCCACTAATCTAATCATACCTTTTCTAATAGCTTATTTAAAATGTAAAAAGAAGCCTGAAATTAATTTTAAGAATGTATTTTGTTTAACCCAGTATATGCCAACTTTTGCCATTTCAACATGTAATGGAAAAAACTTGTTCAGAAGATATTTTACTAGTTCTTGGAAGTCAGTGTGTCTTTAATACTTAGATGACACGTTAGTTTGAAATAGCCATCCTTACAGTGCTCAAGAGTGCCAAGTGGGTGGTGACTGTTTAGTCCTGCTCCAGCTCATACTCCTAATTATTATGCCTTTTAGGTAAGACCTCTGTGAAAAACACAATTTCAATTTAATTAATGAAACCTTCCTTTAAAGATATATTTGAATATATTGAGTTACCATGACTCTTTTGAGGGTTTAGTTTTTGCAAAGGTAGTCAACACAGGAAAGCTGTTCAGTGCAAGTCGATATCTGTAGCCCTCTCGTGGGGGTTCCTGAATCTATTTGCCTTTTTATTCTATATTTTATTCAGCCATTTCCCTTTAACTATTCTATAGGTTTTTCTGGTTTTTACTACATACAACACATGACAGCAAATATCCTTTTTTTTGTACATGTATATGTACTTCCCTCAGAATGATTTCTAGAGATGGAATTCCTGGTTGAAGGGTATACACATTTAATATTTTGGTAAATATTTCCATATTTCCCTCCAAAAAAAGCTGTACCAATTTAAATTACTACCAACAATATTTTATTCTTTTGATTTGCATTTCCTTTTTGGTGCCATTGAGCATGTTTTTATGGGTTCGTGCAGTTTTTTTTGGCATTACTGGGGATTGAACTCAGGCTGCTGTACCATTAAGAACATTTTACTTATTTAATTATTAGTACTGAGGATTGAAACTGGTGTGTGTGGGTTCATTCATTTTTATTTCTTCTTTTGTGAATTGTTGTTTACATCCTTCCTTAACTTTTCATTGGGTTGTTTCTTGTTCTGTTATTGACTTACAGAATCTCTACAACCCCTTGCAGGTATCAGGTAGGAGTTGGCTTGCAACTACCACTAAGGCCCAAGTGTTCCAAACTTAAAACAGTTCCAGAGAACACCAACATCAGACAGTTTCCTTCTGTGACTGTAATGAAGGAAGACAAAGATGTGGCCACTCTGTAATCATGTCTGAGCTGAGCCTGCCTCCTTCTGATAAAATATTCCATCAATAAAAATTTTTTAAATCATCATCAATTTAAAAATATTCTCAGTTATTGAATTGAGCTCTTACTCTGTTAGCAGTAAGAAAATATGTAAAATGAAAGGCAGAGTGCTGTGATCTTAGCATTCAGTGTCATTAAATAAACTCACCACCATTCTGCCTGAATGAGGCTTCTGCATTTCTGTTGCTTCCCTGATAAGAGGCTTTTCAAGTAATATCTATCATATTTTAAATTTTATTTATTTCAAAAAAGATACTAATTACTTTGCTTATTGTATACCTTTCAAAATATGAACTGTACTATCAGGAACACTGGTAAAATATTTTCAAGCAAAAGCAATTTGCTTTTGGTCTAAAAAAAAAATTCTCATCTGTTAGCCAATTGAATATAATAGGCAATGAGAAATCATTAATTTACATTTTCAGGAGCTGTCATTTAGCCATATGGCTTAAATGAGTGCTTTTTGCATATTGGATTGCACTACTGGACCAACACATATTTTTAATGGTATAAAAGAACCTGAGCCCAGTGAAATATTTCAATGTTTATTTTCAGTGATAGGCTTGGAAACAGTTTATGTAAGCAATTGGCAGACATTTTAAAATATTTCCCTTTAAAGTAACAATAAAAATTATATTAAACAGAACTGTTCATAGTGTCATTTAAAAATGTTTTATTTACTTATATTTATATTCTAAAAAATGAATACTTATGGTTACTTAATATTTATTGAACAAAGAAGTTATTTTTTCAGTAAAATCATAATGTATATATACTGAATTACTTCCCAGTACAAAGGCAAAAGATGTGTCATAAAACAAGGGGAAATTATATCACTAAATTCCAAATGAAGAAAGCTAAAGAAAATGATCCCTAAATACTGTCTTGTGATCCCTAGCAACCATGGCAAAATACATGCATGTACTTTTGAGATCATGAGGGATGTTGAATAACCTCACATAATTGGGAATGATTTTTCATTCTTCCTCATTAGGAAATGATGTATGTCTGGAATGGTTTTTCAATAGTGGGTAAAAGAAAAGACATTTCTGAAAATCTCTTGGTAACCGTTGAAATGGCTGAGGCAGCTTTACAAAATCAAAGTAAGTGTGAAGAGTAAACCTGTAGTCATCTTTCTCTGTGCTCCATTTCCGTTCTCCTGCCTTTTCCCTTGCATCTTTGTGTGCAGCTTGAGGACAGCAGCTTTTGCTGCAGGGTGGTTTTAATTAAGATGAAGGGAGGAATGACATGTTGCAACAAGGAGGAACCTTGGAAACACTGGGCTGAATGAAAGAAGCCAATCACAAAAGGCCATTTTTTACGTGATTTCATTTATATGACATGCCCAGCAGAGGCCAGTGTTTAAGACTGAAAGCAGATTAATAGTTGATAGGGATGGAGGAATTGGGGTGGGGTGTGATAGCTAAAGTGTACGGCATTTTATTGAGGAGGGGGGGTGAAAATGTTCTAAAATTGTGATAGTTGCCCAATTATATAAATGTACTAAAAACGATTGAATTATATACTTCACATGAACAAGATGTATAGCATGTAAATTGTATCAGAAAACTGTTAAAAAAAAATGAAGGGAGAAAGACAGGCATTCCAATGTAAAAGCAGCACAAAGAATGCGGGCTCTTCCTTCTGGTTTAGCTGGGACTCTTTCCAGGCCTCCTGATTGCTCTCCAGGTTGGCGTGTTTCTGGAGACTTGAGGAATCGTTGTTTTCACGTTCGGATCGTATCACCATTTGATTTTTCACTCATTACCTTTGGTGATGTTAGTGGTTTACTAAGGTTTGCCAGAGGCAGCTGGCAGAATGACAGGGGCATCAGATATGGTGTCTGTGGCCCCAGCTCTGCAGCCCTCAGACTCTGGAAAAACACCTATTTCTTTTGAAATGAGAGCACTGTTGGGCCAATGATGCCCAGAGTTTTCTTGCTCTGACATTTATAATTCTGTTTTTTTAAAAGAATTTTTTAATATTTATTTTTTAGTTTTCGGTGGACACAATATCTTTTATTTTATTTTGTATGTGGTGCTGAGGATCGAACCCAGCGCCCCGCACATGCCAGGCGAGTGCACTACCGCTTGAGCCATATCCCCAGCCCATAATTCTGTTTTTTTAAATAGAGGATTTATGTTTTGTTAGACAGTGCCATCAGTGATAGCCTCTATTGTGTTCCTTATCAATGCAAGACCACTTAGGTATTATCCCAAAATTATGGTCTTATCTTTTGGAATGTTATAACCACAGAAGTAAAATGGAAATTTTCCTGGTGATAAACCTGCTTAATGGGCATAGAAATTAAGGAATTATGTGTTTGTGGGAAGGGCTGTAACAGTTAACTCTTCCCTCCCTCCCTCCCTTCCTCCGGGATTGAATTACTTCCTCAGCCCTGTTTATTTTTTTTTATCTTGAGACAGGGTCTCAGTAAGTTGTCCAGGCTGGTCTCAAGTTTGCAATCCTGCCTTAGCCTTCTGAGGAGCTGTGATGATAGGTGTGTGCCGCCACACCCTGTTCATTTCTCTTAGCAGGAAAAAGATGGACACTCAAGGAGCCCTGGCTCATATTCAGTAAGCTCCCCACAGTGAGGATTGAGTTATTGAAGAGGGCTGCAGAGATGAGGACTTTTTTTTTTTTTTTTGGAACTTGATTATTGGGTTGAACGCTGTTTTTTTTTTTTTTTTTTAAAGAGAGAGGGAGAGAGAGAGACAATTTTAATATTTATTTTTTAGTATTTGGCGGACACAACATCTTTGTTTTGTATGTGGTGCTGAGGATTGAACCCGGGCCGCACACATGCCAGGCGAGCACGCTACCGCCTGAGCCACATCCCCAGCCCGAGGCTGAACTTTTTAATGAGATTTCTCTTTACAATTATTCTTTTAAACACATAATTAAACTTCTTAGGTATAGGTGGAAAAAGTCACCTATATTTTTGCTATGATTGTACAATTAATTTAGAATTTTTGGTATTCCATCTTGACCTTATTTTTAGAGTTACAAACATAGGTATCTAGATGTATTCTAGTCTGGAGTTTTTTTATCTTTTAATTTAATAAATAATAAATGTTTTAAGTGTTGGTAAATGGGGTTCATTGGGACATTTAGACTGCTTTCCCCATTTATAATAATTCTAGCTTTATATTTCCATCAATAGAAGAAATAAAAAAGAATGAGAGTTGAATGAAATGACTTATCTACTAAGAAGGTCAAAGTTTCAGATAAGGTAGCTATAGAGTCAGTTAGAACAAAGAGAAGAATGATGTTCTGGGGCCACAAGACCTCCCGGCCACCTTCCCCATACCAAAAGCCATCTTGGAAATATAGACCCATGGTCTTGGGGAGACTGGGGCATGGAATATCCTATCCCACTGCAGTCGCATGTAGAGCTCGTCTGTTGATGAGGAGTGTTACACTGCTTTCACCATGTTAAAGACAGCATGTTTAGAAAAGAAACAAAGGGTTCCTTTCTCTTGCCCTCTTTCACAAAAAAGTTAAAACACTTTAATCCCTTCTTGAGCTGGAGCTTAAGTAGGATAGCCAAAGTGCTGAGGTGTTCATCAAAAGGAATTCCTTTTGGATTTCTGGATTTCTAAGTACCAGGGAAATAAGCAGATGAGAAGACTTCAGAACTGGGGACAAAAGAGGAATTCAAAGTTTGTACTTTGAATATTTATAAAGTGCTGACTATAGACTTGCTGCATGCACTTTTCAGACTTTGTATGTTTTTCTAGAGTCCTAACTTTTTTTTTTTAACAATTATCTTTTTAAAAACTCTATTTTTAATTGTGAGTAAAAACATATAAAATAAAATCTTAGTTCTTTTTAAGTATACATTTCAGGAGATTAAAGTGTATTCATATCATTGTGCGAACAACCTCTAGAACTTTTCCATACCTATAAAAGACCAACTGCTTATTCCTCCGTTTTTTCTATCCCAAGGCAGCAACCATTCTTCCTTCTGTTACTGAGTTTGACCACTCTCGATACCACATATAAAATGGTATCATATAAGTAGTTGTCTTTTTGTGACTGCATTATTTAATTTGTGTAATATTTTAATGTTCGTTCATGTTGTGGCATGTGCCATATTTCCTTCCTTTTGTTTATTTAGTTTTTTTTTTTTTTTTTAATGTGGTGCTGGGAATTAAACCCAGTGCCTCAACACATGGTAGGTAAGTGCTCTATCACTGAGTCACAACCCCAGCCCAATTTCCTTCCTTTTTAAGGCAGGAATTAGCCTTAAATTAGCAATTAGCATTTCTACCTTTAATTTTGTGAGGAACTGCCTATTTTAGTCTATTTTCTGCTGCTATAAAAGAATACCAAATTGGGTGGTTCACAAAGAAAAAAAAATTTTTTTTCATAGTTCTGCAGGCTAGGAAGTTCAATATCAAGTTTCTGCCATCTGGTGAGGGGCTTCATTTTGTACCATATCATGGCAGAGGGCATCATATGGAGAGAGAGTGAGAGAGACTGACAGACAGACTGACCGACCCTCTTAAAGTTCCCACCTCCCAATACCATCACAGTGACTATTAAATTCACTGTGGGTTGTAGAGGACATTCAAACCATAGCACCAGTGTAGCGTTTTCTTTCGTGGCTGTGTCATCTTATATTCCTATCAGTGGCACATAAAGATTCCAGTTTCTCCTTATCCTCACCAACACTTCATGTTTTCTACTTTTTCTTTTCTTAGTAGTAGCCATTCTAATGGGTGTAAGGTGATCTTTACTTTTTTTTTTTTTTAATATCTGAGGTGCTGAGGATCAAACCCAGTGCTTCACATATGCGAGGCAAGTGCTCAACCACTAAGCTATAACCCCAGCCCCAATATTTATTATTTTTAATGTGAAATAATTTCAGAAAGAAATTTTTACCTCTTTTGAGGTAGAAATTAGCATAACCTTGTATCATTTTGAAATTCAAATGAAATATATGAAAGTTCACCTTTAAAAAAATGAGATTTCAGGAACTGAGGCTGTAGCTCAGTGGCACAGCACTTGCCTAGCCTGTGTGAGGCACTGGGTTCGGTCCTTAGCACCACATAAAAATAAACAAATAAAGGCATTCTGTCCATCTACAACTTCAAAAAGAAAAAAAAAAGGAGAGATTTCATGAGATATACTTCCATAAAAGCCATTTGGGCTTTTGAACAAACTTTGTTCAAACAGTCTGACTACTTTTTATTAATTTTCCCATTGCTTTTTGAATATATATATATTTCAACAAACATCCATGATTAGAAGCCTGGATAGATTTTTTTTTTTTTAAATAGGAAAAAATTGTCCTAAGTAAATAATAGGAAAGGTAATGTGTGGTGTTGGTATTGGTGGTTTTCTTAATGAATGACCTATCAGCACTTGAAAGTTAGAGGTGAATCTCAGCTGTTTTCAGCACCTAGAAACAAAGTGATCACCTTCTAGTTGGCTAAATGGCATTCTTAACCTCCCATAGACATGGAGTTTACCAACTAAAGCACCAACATGTGTCACTGGTGATTTCTAAGGTTTGTACTGAAAGCATAATTTCAATATGAGGGACTCCCAGGGCCTCATTATTTCTCTTTCCTACCCCTCCCCTCTGTTGTCACAGTCTGAAATGTGTAAATTAGCAGTCTGTCTTGGAGTGACTTCTTAGTTACATATCACTTACAAACAAAAAACAAAACAAAAGAAACCTTCAAAAGTGGTAAATCTGGAGTGGGCTACCTTGTCAAATGATGTCACACACAGTATAGTTTCATTCTGTTTAATATGCATTTGACTTTAGCTGTAGAAGCAGTCATTTGCAAAAAGAAAAAAGCGGTGAAAGAAAATCCTATGCATTATCTTCAAGCATTCAGAAGTTTGTGGGGATTTTTGGTGTCTTTCATGTAATTCAGAACAGTTTTGTCTAATTTTACAACATAATTTCCCCCCAAAAGAACATAACCTGGGAGAATTGATAAGTTGTAAACATAATGATCTGGAGAGGGTGTTCTACTTCCTGAATTTTTAATGGGTGCAAGGCCATCTGCTTCTCCATATGGAAGTGCTATCCTCTCCTGCATCGAAGCCAACACAGTTAGAAGCCAAAACAACAGCTTTCTTGTTCCTCCTGGTTTTACCTTTTACAGAATTAATAAAGCTCTTTATTTAGAGTTTACATTTCCTGTGGTTGTAACTAAAGTCACAAAATTTAGAGTGTGACCACCTGAAGCAAAATTTTAAGTGGATAGAGTGAACCCCTAAATAAAATGGTGTACCAATGTTGTAAATTCAATGTTCTCTTGATTTAAAATATTTTCATGGTGGTGTTTAGTGAGGCACAACAAACGCTAAAAGCATTTTTTTTTTTTAATTTTTGAATGATCTGTCTGAAACCTAATAACTTTTTGGTTTCCTCTTAATTTAAAAAGTATTTTGGGGCTGGAGGTGTAGCTCAGTGATAGAACACTTGCTTAGCATATATGAGGCTCAAGTTTCGATCCTCAGCACCACCACCACCACCAAAAAAAAAAAAAGCAGTTATTCTTTTGTTTATGATTCTTGTTTGTTTTAAGACTTTAGCGACTACTCTGTAGATGACGAGTGCTTAGTGCAGTTACTTAAAGGATGCTGCCTCAAGAACCTGCAGCGGCCCATGCAAGCCGAACTGTGTTTCAATCATGTTGTGGAAAGGTAAGAACAAACAATAAAACCAACCTGAGTGCATGTCATGTTTTCTGGGGAACTGCTGTGAGAAAAATGCAAAATACTTTAATTTCACGTCCCGTAACATGTACTTAGTGTTAACCAAGGAGAGAATCCAGCAGAGTTTTCTTTGTTCCTCACGAATAAAACTGTGGTCTAAATGAAATATGGCCTTAAGCATTTCTACTTGGTGTTTAAAAGATTACCCACAAAAACTAAATTTATGGCCTGACTAACAGATTTCTATCCAAACTCTGACTGCAATATACTGAGTCTCTGATACTCTTTTTTTTTTTGTCCATTTATTTATTTTGTAGATATTTGAGAACCCAGCATGTGCCAGAGACTGTGCTGAGTCCTAGGCACTGAGAGCTGAGTAAATAGACTTGCCATCATTCTTATAATCTGGCAGGGAAGAAAGATATGTGACAAGTATCATAATTGTTTTTTTGTTTTTTTATAAAGGGCATTTATTTGCATATAATTTTTTTCAATGGCAATGATGATGAGGTCCTATTCCTACTAATCATAGAATTCAATCAAGAGTCGATGCCTGGCCCTCTTCTCTGTATTAAAATGCAAGTAACTCTAGGGATCAGACTAGTATTCATACTAAATGAGACAGGCTAAATGATATAGGAAGAGATTGGTGAGCAGTGTAGATTAGAAAGGTTGTGTGTTCTAACCACTCCTTAGATGTAATTGATTATTGCTGTGCGTAATGTGGTCCGAGTAACAATAGTCCATACCATTTTTTTTAAAATGAAAAGCATAGAAGCTGGATTTTATCCAAAATATCCCAATTTTTAAATGTTGTCTCAAATTTTTGACCCAAAAGATCACAGTGCAGACCAAAAAGATGACTGCTGTAGACTACCAGGTGACATCCTGTGCCTTTCAATCATGTACCTTTCAATCCATGGACATCTGATTCCCTTCCTCCTGATAATATTTATGAGAATGTAAGAGGACTGGTGTCTGTATAAGAAGAAAGAGACAATATTTATTTCCCAAATAAGTAATATACAGTATTTAGTAAACATGTTAAAGAACTATGCATGGAGTTCTGTTTTATTGGTGCTTTTATAAGGATCAAAAAGGATGATCAGAATGATGACCATTTGTGCTGTTTATTGAATCTCATAGTGAATTGTTTGCTTATATATTTTATTATTTTGGATTGTGAATTTACCTTCAGTTGGGCTTTATCTTCAAATTCTTATGGTGCTATATTAAGGAAGAGTTTCTCTGAAGTGATTTTGCTTTTATTTCTGCCAGGTGCCCTAAAGGCTTTTCTATCCCAAAGCCACTTTTATTAATTTCATTGCTTATAGGCTCTTGGATTATTTGGGCAATTTAAATTTGAATTGCAAGTTCATTACTCTCCCAACGAAGGTATCTTTTTTCTTCCCATCAAAAGTAAAGGTCTTGCTCCTATGAACAAAAAAATTAATAATAAAAGAGCTTTCTTGACTCTAAATGGAGTCATTTTCTTGCTCCTATGTTGGTAAGTGCGTTTCTTCCAATATGCCCTTTCTCTAGAGGAGTGCTCTTCTAGGATCCAAAACTTTAAATGGAAGTTTAAGTTCTCCCTACCTGCTTTCTGTGGGCCCAAGACCTCATCTCTTGCATGCACATTAAGAACCTGGGTGGTTTGGATGGAAGCAAAATCCAGGATTCATTCAGCATCGTCCCACATACCTAGAGTCCTACTTTTTCAGTTCTAGTTCTATTTTTGGAATCTGAGATATTTTATTATGTTCCTTTGAGGTAAGCTATGCATTGGAAAGGGTATTACTCATATTTTCCCCAAAGCTTCTGGATGTTTTGTAATGATAATTTTCACAATTATGAAAACAGACTGTTGACCACTTCTTTATTGACATTCTAAAGTCTTACAAGACTTTAAAATACAAAAGGAATTGAATCATAGTTTTAAAAAAAAGATAATAATGCAGCTTTCTTATCTCTAAATGGGATAAGAGATGAACACTTTCATGTTTGAAAGGAAGATCTTGTCATTTCTGGGGTTCATCTTTATAGGTCTGTGTGCATTCATCTATAAAAAACTGTAAACCATCATCAGAAATAAATCATTGATCTTGGGGAAAAAATTATCAGTTCTGGATTTACAGTATGGAATAAATAATGTATCAAGAGCATACAATTTATTGTCATAGTTTATTTAAAGTTCCATAACTATTTAGTACAGCTTTTTTTCGGATAATAGGCTTGATGCTTCACCTATTTTTTGAGGAATGAGGAATAAGTCTTAAAATGATATGCTTTTGTTCTGTTAAGACTTAATTGATTCCATTTGCTCTTTCAGTGAAAAGCGGCTGAAGTATGACCACTACTTAGTGCCATTCACTCTGTTTGAGTTGGCATTTTTATATAAAAGCCAAGGGGAAATTGACAAGGCCATAAAATTCCTAGAAACTGCAAGGTAAGTGATGAAGGTAGCTCTTCTTTGATTGCTGTGGAGTTAGGAATGTCAACACCATTACAACTAAAATCAGCAGCAGTGGCCTCAGACACTTAAAGATTAATAAAGTCATGAAGAATTAGTAATAATATTACTTCTGCAAATTAGCAATAATATTGCTTTTGCTGGCTTATGCATTATGTTCATGCTTTTGCTGTAATTGTGCTGTTCCTCATGCCTCACCCTGTTGCTTCTTATAGATGTGATTGTAGGTATCTGTCTCAGCGATTGCTAAATTACTGTTCTCTAAATCAGAAATTGGAAGATTTTTATGTAAGTGGCCAAATAGTATTTTTGGCTCTATTGTGTAAGGTCTTCATTGAAACTACTCAGTTATATTTAAAATAGTCATAGAATATGATATGTAAATAAATGGATGTGTTCAGATTTGAATCTTGGGTCGTAATTTGATGACCAATAGATAAGGTCATTTAAGTCATAACTATCATTTCCTTGATGAGCAACTAATCACATGAAGTTCTTTGATCTCCACCATAGTAGTTCTGAAGTATTTTTTTCTTTTTATCATTTGAGCTAGACAATGACTCTTAAACTTGTGATCATGGTCCCCTTATTTAAGGCAAAACCTTATAGTCTGTTTGTCTTGAGCATTTTGTGCAATGGAGAAGGAATGCCATAACAGCTGTAGGTCACAAATAGCCTGGGGTTTGTTGGTTCATTAATTTCTTTAAATTCAGCAAATATTGACTGAATACCTACTAAGTACCAGATACTGGTAAAAGTGCTAGAGAGACCTAGCTACAAACTATATAGGCAATGTTTCTACTTCCTTAGCTGGAGGGAGATATTAGATTAAACAATCAAGTGAGAAAAATACTAATGATTTTTTTTTCCTGAAGTTTACAATATGATACAGGGTACTCAGATATTATTTTAGATTTTATTGTTTCTGGAAGATTTCCTTGAGGAGGTGATACTGTAATTGACATTTGTATAATTAGAGCAAGTTTTGAGAAAATCAGTCACATGAAATCACCAGAAGACTGGGCAGGAAGCATTTTTGGCAGAAGCTACAGGGGAGTTAAACTAGGTCATCAGTGATGGTTTTACTGAGATGGGGAATAGTTAGAACAACAGGTTTGGGGAAAGAAACATACTTCTTTTGGGACCATAATACTTGGAGATGGCTGTTGAATTTCCCAGGTAGAGATATTGAGTTGGTAGTCAGATATGTAAGCATGGGTTTTCTGGTAATCAGAGCTAAATGTAGAGATTCCAAAGTCACCAACACAAGATGGCAATATTTAAAGCCATCGTATTTGATAAGTTCATTTTGGGAAAGTTGCAGAGCAAGGATGGAAGTCTATTTTGGTGCCTGGGATATGCCTTCATTTTAGAGATGAACCAATAAAATTAAGATGATTAAGATTTTAATATGAGTTAGAAAGACATCTAGGAAACCCAAGTGCTTGAAAAAAAAAATAAGAATAGTCAATTCATGAGAGCAGCTGCTGAGAGGTCAGCAACATAAGACCAAAGAAGGCCTGTCGAACTTGGCAGCATGATCATTAGTGACCTTGACAAGTGAGGTGAAAATGAAACAGAGTCGGGCTGGGGCTGGAGCTCAGTGGTAGAGCACTCACCTAGCACATGCAAGGCCCTGGGTTTGTTCCTCAGCACCACATAAAAATAAATAAATAAAATAAAGATATTGTGTCCAACTACAACTAAAAAATAAATATTAAAAAAAGAGAAAGAAACAGTTAGCTATTGGAGGCAAGGATTTTCAATGCTTGCAAGCATTTTCTAAAAATATTTAGAGCACAGTGATAGGGCGAAGACCAGGACATAGGGTAGCCAACAAGGACTTCTGTTTAAAAAAGAAAAAAAAAAAAAAAAAAAGGTTTATGTGAAAACAAGTCACTTTTAATCTGTTGAGCTGGAAATGTTGCTCAGATGTGGCATGAGGCCATGGGTTTCATCCCTAGTACTGCCTTTCTCCCCCATCCCCGAAACCCGCCCCCCATTGTTGAGAGTATGATTAGACCCCAAAACTGTTGTTTTAAATATTTATTGTTTGGATATATTTACTACTATGTAGTGTATAGTAAAACAATTTTATAATGATGACAGTGGAAGACAAGAAAGTCCAGGAGTCCAGACTACACCTCACCTCTAAAAAGCAACCAAAAGCTACCACTAATGTCATACAGTACTGATGATAACATGTTCCCTAGTAATTTTAAGACTTTCAATTAATTTCAGTTTCCTTTATGTAGTAGGAGCTTTGCAAAGTTGCCAAAAGTGGTGGCCAGACATTTAGGAATATAGTCAGGTACATCCTTTGATACACTCTGTTAAGATGTTGATTTTAGTTTATAAATAATACATTTTATTAACCCTTAGCAAAGTTACCACCAAGCAGCCCTTAGATGTGTATGAAGTGAAAAGCTATAGAAATAAGTGCTATAGAAATAAGGCAACGTATAAAAGTAGGAGACTAAAGTTGAAGTTATTCCATTTTGTTGTTTCTTAACAGTTGTAGCAAAGGGAGGTTAACAAGAATGATCTCAGTCAAGTCTTAAAGTAATCTTTGCATTTTGATGGCCCTTCTGACATTGGTCTGATTATTATTTATTTTTTTAAAAATTGTTTTTTTGAGAGAGAGAGAATTTTTTAATATTTATTTTTTAGTTTTTGGCGGACACATCTTTGTTTGTATGTGGTGCTGAGGATCGAACCTGGGCTGCACGCATGCCAGGCAAGCGCACTACCGCTTGAGCCACATCCCCAGCCCCCTGATTATTATTTAATTATTGGACAAATCATTGATATTTGCTCATTAGAATTAGAATAAGTAATTTTGGTAGTACTAAGGAATACTGCTGTCTTTTTTGCAGGTCTTTCTTTCTAGTGGTTGATGATGTTTACCATGTTTATATGAGCCTACCTTCACATTTTCCAAATTAAAAAAAGGAAGTCAAACTATTTAGGAATAGTTCACCAAATTTGTTAGGTCCTCCTCAAAACCTTCTTGCTGGGTTTGTGAATGGTTTGGTAATTAAGTAGAATTTTGCTACTGAAAATATGACTTTAAATCACCACCAGGAAGCTTCTGCAAAAACAGACTTGCTATCCCCACCCCTACCTCCAGGCAGAATCTGCATTTTGCTGTGATGCAGGGTTTCGCATATTAAAGTTTGAAAGTAAATAGCATATTGGGGAGTGAGATACAAAGAATTTGTATCCTTTGGAATACAAAAAAATTTTGACTGTATAATTTTATTGTTATCTTCAGAAACAACTACAAAGATTACTCCTTGGAGTCCAGACTACATTTCAGAATTCAGGCAGCTCTTCACCTCTGGAAAAAACCCTCCTCGGAATGATCAGGACCCAGATGATGGAATTCCCCCCAAATAGCATCGGCATCTGCTGTAGATTAGACCTTGTTTTAAAGTGAGAAAGTGATCTTGTGAATAAGAGATGGAAAATTTATTTTACTGTCAATATTTTCTATCATCTGAATGGTTTACTGTTGGTCTCCATAAAAATGTTTTTATTTTTCTTCCTGTGGAATAACATTCAATAATAGCTAGAAAATTCTTATACTTTGCGTCTCCAAAAAGAATTTCACATTAAGTTTTAATTGGGGGGTGAAGAGTCTTTTTTAGAGACTCATAGGTACAATAAAGACTAATTAGATTATTTATTTTTTTAATGTGGAAATTAATATTGTTTAGCAAATAACTTACAAGTTGAACCGTTTTTAGATTTGTTGTTGTCAGTTAAGCTTAGAGATATTTTGTTGCCTAGTATTTAAATCTCAGAGGAGAAATATATATTGCATTAGATAATTTAATGAACTTCTGAAGACCGAAAAAGACAGGCAGAGAGCATAAACTTGGATGGGATAATTACTTCGTGTTTTAAAGAGACTTGTACCTATAAAAGATCATGAAACTCCAAGTTATTGGGGTTTTACTCCTCTTATTGGTTAAAAGTTGAGAGACTATGCTGGTTTTGAATGTACTTAAGTCTATCATAAAAACAAAATTTTTAAAGCTTGTGTATATAAAGGAAAGGAAAAGTCATATTTTAGAAATTATCCTTAACCTTAGTGATAAAGCCTAAAATCTAAACATTGATTATTTTTCTTATAGGAAGCAAAGTTCTTGCAGCTTTAAATGATATATGAAAATCAATAATTTTTACACTTACAATGATAAGATCTCATTTTCTAATCTCTCTAGCACTGTGATGGTTCCTTATAAATATTTGGACTGTGCTTAATCCTTTAGTTGAGAAATAGGATCAAGTCAGGGAGTAGGCAAAATGCTGTAATCCTGGCTCTGCGATTGAAGAGCAGTTCAACAGTTGACCTTTAGGAAGTCCCTGCTCCCTATGCATCACCATGGTTTCTTCATCTATGATATGGAAAAAGGAACAGATGACTTAAAGGTCTCTTTCAGCTTTATAACTGTGTGACAGTGTATTAGGTATTTATTTTCGGCAGATGTTAAATGTTTTCATCCAAACCATTCCCACCTACAGCATGTTTTATTTTTCAGTCATCACCATTCCTTGCCCATATTGTATGTGTTGTGGCTAAGGACCAGCTTTCATCTAGAATGAAGAAAAGCAGTTTATGAATCTATGAGTCTGGGGTTTCGTTCCATTTCTTTTTTGAAGAAGGGAGCTTGTCTTGGGAACCTCTTCATTTTCACAGAAAGAGTCTCAGATTGGGAGTCCTTCTCTGTTGGTTAATCGTGCCATGATATTGGAGAAAGTGGCTTATACTTTCTGGGACTCAGTTTTCCCAGTGGGAATAGCAAAGTAGTACTTGGTGCTCTTGAGGACTTAATTAGATATTGCTTATGGAGGCATTTTGTAAACCCTGAAAGGCTATATGAATATGAGTTGTTGTAATAATTATGGTTTTTAATGCACTGATTACAGTATAAACAAAAATATTGGCTGAGTCTATGGTCTCTGCTATAAAATGAAAGAAGTGTGGAAATTTGAAAAACATTAAATTTATTCATGCATTTAGCACTGATAGTAGCCCATATAATGAATTTCTTCCTTGCTCTCCCCTGTTACAGGACTCTTTCCCTAGCAGGAATTTGGTGATGTTTTCTTTAAGGTGCAAATTCTTGACCAATGAAGATGTCTTTCCAATGGAAGATAATTAATACAAGTCAAGTCAGAATACTGCCTCTTTAGATAGTATGGTGGCAGATATCAATATGTGCTATCAATATAAATTACATAATTACTTAAGGTACAGACTGAAAAGGAAATAAATCAACTCATTATTTACTATAATTAGTAGTAAAAAACATGTTCACTAATTATTTTACTTTGGAAAAAGTTTATAAATTCTTTAGGAGAGCTTTGGCAGCAATATACTCTGATTTTTGTGAGAAGCTGCAAGTCAATAAAAAATATTCTTCTGGTATAAAATGAAGAAATCTTAATCTAACAGTGGCTATTTTAATTGTAGCTACATTATCAAATACAAAAGAAATTCATCTGTCCCATTTAAAATTTTCCTTCTTTTTCTATTTTCTGTCTAGTGCATTTGTAAGTAAGTACTATAATAGCATTAGTTCTGCTATATTTGTTTTCTCTCATGCCTAAGATATTGTGCTGGCACCAATTTCTTGACATCAGCTGATATTGTATTTTTGGAGTTATTTTGTAATTCAGGGTGTTATATGAAGTGACATTGCTTAATCTTTTGAGAGGCATGTATGACGACGTTGAATTTCTGATGTGTCTGACATTGTAATTTATGTAATACCTCATAAAATTGCCTTTTTTCTCCTTTTTAATGGAGAGGCATTGTTCTGAGTGGTGAATTGGAAATTTTTAAAATTTGTTCTAATTAGTTATACATGACAGTAGAATGCATTCTGACACATCATACATAAATGGACTATACCTTCTTATTTTTTTCATTGTACATGATGTAGAATCACACCAGTCACGTAGTCATATATGCACATAGAGTAATAATGTCCAATTCATTCTACTATTCTGCCTACCCCCAATGCTCCCTTCCCTCCCCTCCCCTCACTACCCTCTGCCTAATCCAAAGTACCTCTATTTTTCCCAAGATCCTCTCCCCTTATCGTGAATTAGCATCTGCATATCAGAGAAAACATTCTGCCTTTGGTTTTGGGGGATTGGCTTATTTTGATTAGCATGATATTCTCTGGTGCCATCCATTTACCAGCAAATGCCATCATTTCTTTTTCTTTTTTTTTTTTTGTTTTTGGTACTGGGGATTGAACTCAGGGGTACTCAACTACTGAGCCACATCCCCAGCCCTATTTTGCATTTTATTTAGAGACAGAGTCTCACTGAATTGCTTAGTGCCTCACTTTTGCTCAGGCTGGCTTTGAACTCAAGATATTCCTGCCACAGCCTCCCAGCCACTGGGATTGCAGGCATGCATCACCACTCCCGGCTTAATGCCATCATTTCATTCTTCTTCGTTAAGGCTGAGTAATATTCCATTGTGATATGTACTACATTTTCTTTATCCATTTATCTGTTGAAGGGCATCTAGGTTGGTTATTGTGAGTTGATCTGCTTTAAACATTGACATGGCTATGTCACTCTAGTATGCTGATTTTAAGTCTTTTTTTTTGGTAATATTTATTTATTTATTTTGATTTTAAGTCTTTTGGATATAAACCAAGGAATGGGATAGCTGGGTCAAGTGGTGGTTCATTCCAAGTTTTCTGAGGAATCTCCATACCGCTTTCCATATGGTTCCAACCAAGTTGAAGTTCCACCAGCAATATATGAGTGTACCTTTTCCCCCACATCCTCACCAACATTTATTGTTGCTTGTATCCTTGATAATTGCCATTCTGACTAGAGTGAGATGCATTGTATATTTAAGTAAATTTTTTGTTTCATTGGATTGGTGACAAGGCACCATTTCCATTTGGCATTTAATGATAGATTATGTTGGCTCTTGACATTTTCTATACCCAGAGATATAAGTAGGTCCCAAGTTGTTTAGAAGAAAAAGTTCATTGATTTTTCCTTCAGAGGGCAGAGATGAGACAAAGTGGATAGAAGCTGTAAGGAGGTGAATTCTAGATTAATCAGTGTTAAGAAATATTTTTAATCATTAGAATGTTCCAACAGTCTTAGTCTAACTAGCTCTTTGGCATTGGGGTGAGTTTAGTAGTGCTATATGACTATCATTCCTACCTGGCATCAGTGCTTGGGCTAGTTGAATTTGAGGTCACTATGAGTCTTTGATCAGGGTTTCAAATCAGAGAGGTTTTGGGCATAAAGAAGAAAATGCCCCTTTAAATAAAAGTGAATGTTTCTTCTTTCAAAGGTCCTTACATTGTGATAGACACCAACAGTATCTGCTATTGGTACTCATTATGATTCTATTTCTGTCCCTTCAAAACTATTGAAGCTATTGATCTTTGTGAATAGAGGTATTTCCCCCCTTCAATGATAAAAGCAGTAATTAAAATATGGTCTTTATGACCAACTGGAAATTTTTCTGTAAATGATAAATAATTAAATTAATTAATTTTTTACTCTTTTTCTTTCTAGTGGGACTATCCATTTCATAAATCTTAAATATATTTAGTTAAAACAAATTAATGAAGACTCCTAGCAATAATTTTTGAAACCCTAAGATTTTACTTTTCATTGGCCCTGGAATGGATCTGGGGACATTATCTTATCCTTTCCAGCTTTTCAACTGTAGTGGTTATCCTTTCATACTGTTTTGTCTGGTATAATCTCCACTTGCCACCTTGTGGCCATTTAGCCGTTGAAATGTCCAGGCTACACAGGATTATGCTGATTGTCACAGGGGCCTTCCTTCATACATGCTGCAGTTTTGTCTAAAGAATCCCAGGATCCTGCTTCCTGGCATTCTGGCTTTTGCTTGCTGTCTACTGTGACCACTTAGTCGCCACAGTTGCATCAGGAATTGTGTTGCAAATATCTGTGAGTTCACTTCTTCTGTTGAAGTGCCCTTAAACCTTCATTTCACTGTGTTTGTTCTTCAGATGTTCCAGGTCATTGGCATGTTTGAACGTTAGTCTCACCCCTTCTGACCCCTGCTGAGCTTGTATACAAATTAAAAGTTCTTATTTTTTTAAGGTTACTGTTTTAATATGATTTTATAGACATTCCTTGATTTTCCACAAAGTGCGGCTGTTAGAATTATAGGAGAGTGAGTGACTATCACCATTGAAATGTTAGTAGATTTCATGTGTAAAATAACTTATAAGAGCATTATTCTGAAAAATTTAGTGAACTCTTTTTAATCCCTTAATTAGTGTTTCAACATTGACTCTCTCAAGTAGCCCAATCTTACTCTTTCAAGTTTTTAGATGCAAGTTAACCACTTAGAATAATTTGGCAGATTGAAATTTAAAGTTATATATAAATGCCTTTTGCCGCCTATTATTATTTTGAATGTATATGATACTTAAGCAATATGCATGGCATATTTTTAATCTCTAGACATTTCTTGATTATATAAGTCTATTGATTGCTAGACAAAACAACTTACAGTATATAGACAATGTTT